ATACTGTGTTGCCATTAACACCAAACACCAGGCTACGGATAAACACATAAACACCTGAGATGATCAAATTGGGGGGTCAGTGAACAAAATTATACTCTAGACCAAGGATAGATTCAGCTGAGGCTAATCTTGCACAGACATCAGTGATACAAAATATCTGCAGTCCTTACAGAAACAATAGAAGACAGACACAGTAATCCCTCACAGACAACCAGACACTATGGGAGAGAGATCTAATAGATCTACTGTCTCAGGACCATCGTACTGGGGGACACCAGATTCATTTGGCACAACAAAATACATAAAAGCCTTGATCCACATCCTACATTGGTGATTAGCGACTGGCATCTTAAAAGCTTTCATGCGGCCATCTGAGATGCAGGTAATGGTCTCCTAGCGTTGGAAGCAAGGAAGAATGCAAAAAAAACCACAGGGGCATTTGGAAGCAATCAGCAATAGGACACGATGGCCCTCGAGACCAGAAGAACTAGTTGGTGCCCGGCTACCAATGCCAACTATCCTGGAAAGGATCAAATCTGGAGATCCTGTATAGAGTGGGAGGAAAAATGTGGAACAAAATCCAAAAACTCAATAATAACCAGAATTACTGGTCAGATGAAATCTGGTAAGACTCCCAATACTATGGCCCTGGAATACATTCTGTGCCTGGAATAAAACTCACTCCCAGGGGCTAGCTCTCAGTCCAATAGTTAACAAGATGTACATGTAGACCACTCAACCCAGGATGATGCACCCACATACTCTATGGGAATACATCCTTTAGAGCAATAGACCACAGAAGACCAGAGGACCAACATTCAAATTGAGGAAATGCAGGCAAACAGTGTATAATCATGGGCACAGGGGGAGGGTTATAGGGTAGGCAGGGGAGGAGACTGGGTTAGGGTTGGACATGGTAAATGGGGAATGAAACTAAATGTACATGTAACATTGAATGTAAAACAAGCTCTTAAAAAAATTATCAGACAAAGGGAAAATCTTTACAATTTATAGAAAACTTCAACACCCCAACAAGAAAAAGACAAATAATACTGTTGAAAAATTGGCAGAGGACATTCTTCAGCAAAGAAGACATTGAGGCAGCCAACAAATACATGAAGAAATGCTTGTAATCATTAGTCTTTAGAGAGATACAGATCAAAACAACAATGAGATATTATCTGATACTAACACTAATACAAAGTTTAAAAAATTAGAAAACAACAAATGGTAGCCAGGGTGTGGAGACACTGGAACCCTCATACATTGTTGATGGGACTATAAAATGGTGCAATCACTGAAAAACGGTATGATGCTTCCTTAAAAATTTGGAAATCAAAATACCATATAATCCATCAACACTGCTATTAGATGTATATCCTAGAGAAATAAGAGCCATGACATGAACAGATATATGCATACCCATGTCGATTGCAGCACCCTTCACAATAGCAAAAAGATGGACACAACCTAAATGTCCATTGATGGGTGAATGGCTAAACAAGTATGCTGTATACACACGATGGAATGCTATACATTAAATCCACAAAACATAATGTGGATAAACCTAGAGGGCATTATGCTGGGTGAAATTAGTCAATCACAAAAAGACAAATGATGTATTAGACCACTGTTCATAAAAAAAAAAAAAATCAAAATGTTTTCACACAAAAATAAATCTTCTTTGATGGTTATTGTGAGTGGAAGTAGAAGTGAGGTAAACTAGTATCTATAGGGTAGACACATAGTAACTTAGGTGGAGAGGAAGGCATTAAATAATGAGGAAAATGTCAGAACAGAATGATCAAGGAATGGGAAAAAATAGGTTAGTCAATTTTGTTTTATAAATGGGAGATTTCTACTTACAAATATTGATAGCATGACAGCAAGCCACACCACAAATACATCACTGCCATACACATGGTTACTTTAAAATAAGAATTAATTTCGATGAGCTATATTACTAGCTATAACTTGGTATATTTTTAATTAACATTCAGAGTTTGAGTTTGAGAGATCTGTGATTTGAATAGCAGTACTTACTGGTCCATAAATGAGCTCTGGCATAGCACAGTGGCTAAGACACTTGCCTGCTAACCATACGGCTGGCGGTTCAAACCCACCAGCCACTCCTCGGAAGGAGGGTTGGGCAATCCTACTTCCGTAGTGATAACTGCCTCGGAAAGCCAAGGAGGGGTTGCTATGAGTCGGGTTTGACTCGACAGCGCATAACAACAACAACAACAACTGGTCCATAATAAACTTTTATGTTGTAGTAATTACAGACAGTGTTAACTATGAATACTTTAAAAAGTCTCCAGTTTTTAAACTCTTTAGTATTCATAACTTTCTTTAATGTAGCAAATATTTATTGGATGTTTATTTAGTAAGGAAATAATGGATTACACTGAAATAAATGTAATGTTATAACACTTAATTGTACTCATGTGGAACTTGTACATAGACCAAGAGGCAGGTCAAGCAAAATGAGGATGTTGTTGATGTTGTTGTTATGTGCCCTCGAGTCGGACCTTACTCATAGCGACCCCTCCTTGGGTTTCCGAGGCAGTGTCACTACGAAAGTAGATTGCCCAACCTTCCTTCCGAGGATACTGTGTGGTTAAAAATCAGGAAATGTGTAGGTCAGGTTCGATCTTTTCACCATACCTGCTCAATCTGTGTAGTAAGGAAATAATATGAGAAGCTGGACTATATGAAGAAGAAACAGCATCAGGTTTGGAGGAAGACTTAATAAGAACCACCATAAGCAGATGACACAGCCTTGCTTGCTAAAAGTGAAGATGACTTGAAACACTTAATGATGAAGATCAAAGACTACAGACTTTCGTATAAATTATACCTTAACATAAAGAAAACAAAAATCCCCAGAAATAGACAATAAGCAATATCATGATTAACAGAGAAAAGATTGAAGTTATCAAGGATTTCATTTTACTTGGGTCCACAATCAATGCCCATGGAAGCAACAGTCAAGAAATCAAATGATGTAACATACAACACAGAAACATTGTTCCATATCCTACTTTGGTGAGTAGTGACTGGGATCTTAAAAGCCTGCAAGCAGCCATCTAAATTCAATGATGAGTTGAAAAAAGAAGAAAATTATAAATATTTCAGATGTAAAAAGAAGAAATGAAGATTGAAGAAAACCAAAGATACATGGAAAGAGTTAGTCTAAGGGGCTGGTACACCATGAGATCCTCAGCCTATATGACTATGAGACCAGAAGAACTAGATGGTTGCTGGGCAGGGATCTGTGTAGGAGATCCTGGATAAAGTGGGAGAACAATGTGGAACAAAACTCAAAATCATTTTAAAAAAATAAAGAACCAAGTTTGCTGGTCTGATAGAGCCTGATGGAACCACTGAGATTATGGCCCCTAGCTGCCCTTCAGGTCTAGAATTGAACGTACTCCTGTGGCTTCTAGCCAACAAAAGACAGGCATATGAGCTGAACATTTACATTAGGTAGATAAACTCCTTGGAGAAATAAATCATGGGAGAATAGAAGGGCTGTGTATGCACAGGGAGACAGCTCGGGGGGCAGGAGTCCATAGGAGGGAAGGACACAGGGAAGAGGTAACTGTGGGGAGGAAGTGGGAAGAGAACTGTTGCATCATGGGAAATTGCAGTCAATGTCACGAGACAAAGTATATGTGAACTGCTGTATGGAAAATGAATTTGCTCTGTAAACTTTCACCCAAATCACAATTAAAAAAACTTTTTTTTTTAATCAAATGATAAATTGCATTAGGCAAATCTCCTGCAAAAGACCTCTTTAAAGTGTTAAAAAGCAGAGATATCACTTTGAGGACTAAGTTGCACCTGATTGAAGCCATGGTATTTTCAGTTGCGTCATATCCTTGGGAAGAAAGCTGGACAATGAATAAGGAAGACAAAAGAAGAATTGATGCCTTTGAATTGGAGCCTTGGCAAAGAATGTTGAATATACTGTGGACTTCTAGAGAACAAACAGACCTGTCATGGAAGAAGTACAGAAGACTGCTTCTTAGAAACAAGGATGGGGAGACTTTTTTTTTTTTTCCTCGTATTTTGGTCTTGTTATCAGAAGGGACCAGTCCCTGGAGAAGGACTTAATGCTGGTAAAGTAGAGAGAGGGTCAGTGAAAAAGAAGACCCTCACTGAGATGGATTGACACAGTGACTGCAAAAGTGGTCTTAAACATAGCAATGATTGTGAGGGTAGCACCTGACCAGATAGTGTTTCATTCTGTGATACATAAAGTCTCTGAATTGGAACCAACTCAGCAGCACATAACAACACAACAATGTGGTTGTCTTTTAGGAACAATGCTAGTAACTGAGAATGTAGTAAGAGATAGGAAGTGGATCTTGCATGCGGAATTACCATGGAATAATTGATTATGCTCATTCGTTACTAAATAATAGCATTATTATATTAATAGCATCAAATATTTGGTGTAGTGTAATATTAATACTTATAATAGTAAATCAGTAATTAGAACTATCTGCTCCACCTCAAAATTTATTTGTTTCAGCTATTGAAATAGAAAACAAAATGCTTTAATTATAGGATAATTATAAATATTTCAGGTGTAAAGTAATTTTTTAATGTTTTCATATTTTCTTTCCCATAATAGCCTTTATATTACATGACTTCCTTTTTTGAAATGTAGATTGCGTCCCTGTCAGGCCCTGAGTTATAAATGTGATCAAGAGAGACCCAGTTCTGGCCCTCATGGTGCTGCCAGTAAAGTGGAAGAATAATGAAATATAGGCAGTCTATTACAATTCACTGTGACAAGTTCAGGAGAGTCTAATTATAAACAAGGAACAGATTCTCATAGTAAATAGGACATCAGAATAGTTTTTTTTTTTTTTTTTCCTTAAGTCTTTGTTTAGAGGAAATGTAGTGCTAAACTTTACTGCTTGTTTTAAAATTTTCCTATTTTTTTTTATTAGAACTCGGCACAATAATCTGATCTCTCCCTTTTTCAGGCCCTAGAGAGTGAATTTGTTTCCTGCCAACTTCACCAATGGATTGATCTCATTTTTGGCTATAAACAGCAAGGACCAGAAGCTGTCCGGTCCCTCAATGTGTTCTATTATTTGACCTATGAAGGAGCTGTCAATTTGAATTCAATAACTGATCCTGTATTGAGAGAGGTAAGTTATCTGACTGAGACAGAAATTTCTAATCAAATATCTTTAGACTAAGGATACTAGATATCATCTTCCTCATCCTTTCATTTTACTGATGAATAAACTGAAACCAGGTGGGTGAAGTGACTTGAGCAGTACCATGTAGTTAGTAAGTGATTAGCTGGGATTTTAACCATAGATTTCTTTCCAACAAAATGTTTGACTTAGTTTAAAATGAGAGTCTTTCCAGTTTAAACCTGTTAAGGGATTAATAGTTGAATTTATAATTTCTACAGCTTTGGAAGCTACTCAACATGATTTTGAAAATAGTAATTCATTAAAGAAAAATGATTGTGAGCATAAATGTGAGAAAACACAAACCAAACCCACTGCCATCAAGTCAGTTTTGACTGATAGTGACCCCTATTGGGTTTCCAAGTCAGTAAATCTTCACAAAAGTAGATCACTCCATCTTTCTTCTGCAGAGCAGCTGGTGGGTTTGAACAGCCAGCCTTCTGGTTAGCAGTCAAATGCCTTAGGCACTGCACTACAAGAGCGCCTTATGTAGTACATATCTAAGTAGATATACAGTGAAACCTTGAGAGCCAAAACTTGAAGGGATTGCCTTGTGTTTCCAGGTCTTGTGCAAGGTTTCTACCTTTGACAGGGTTCAATCTTACTACTTTTCGATTTCTGATCCCTAGTTATTCTAGTTTGCAGGTTTTACTGTGTAACAATATAAAAGTTTATAAATGAAGGTTGGGATGCATTTCTGCATCATCAGATTTGGTGTTAGACCTCATTGAAACGTGTTTCATCCTTGGTATTTATTTTCTAAGGGAAAACACTCAAATAAGGTCTTAACAAAAAGTCTTTTCCATAGACTGTGAAAACCAAAACCTGTGTAAGACAGAAGCCTGTCAGAGAAGGGAAACTAAAATATTTTCCACTAATGGAGAGTGATAGAAAAATGGTATGACTTCACCCTGTCAAGGTGGAAAAATGATGAGATCCAGAAAAACAAGGCAGTCCCATCAAGTTCCATCTCTCACAGATTTCACTGTATTTCAAATCTAATTATGTAAACTCCTAACTCTAATGTATCTTATATAAAAAGATTATAGGATTGAGCAAAAATACCCTTGAATATCTATACAATTTTAGGAAAGAATTATAAGAAACCAGGGGCTTTGATTCATAGTTTAAGTTGTATATTGGTTTAAAAGGGAGCATACTTTATAATGACTAGGTTTATCCAGGTCCCTGGGTGGTTGGTGCACATGATTAAGCACTGGACTACTAAACAAGTGGTTGGTGGTTTGTACTCACCCAGAGACACCTCAGAAATAAGCCCTGGTGATCTGTTTTGGAAATGTCATAGCTTTGAAACCCTATGGAGTGCATTTCTACTCAACACACTTAGGGTTTGCCATGAGTTGGAATCAACTCAGCAGTAGCTAACAACAACAAAAGTTTGTTATTTTTCACCAGCACTTAAAGTACTCCTTTCTAATTCTGTTTCTGACCTGATCATGTTGAAAATATATAATAAAGACATCTTTAAATAAATTGGCATTGGCATATTGTTGTTGTTATGTGCCATCGAGTCAGACCCGACTCATAGCAACCCCTCCTTGCATTTCCGAGGCAGTATCACTATGGAAGTAGACTGCCCCATCTTCCTTCTGAAGAGTGGCTGGTGGGTTTGAACCACCAGCCTTCTAGTTAGCAGTCAAGTGCCTTAGCCACTACACCACCAGAGCTCCCTGGTAGCTTATTGGCATATTACCACCTGGTTTATGTGCTAGATAAAGGTTAGTACACAAATGAGAACATCCATGTACTTGCATGTACATTTATTTTGAATTGCTGTTTTAAAACCATAGAAACAGAAAGCTGAGCAAAATAAACTCTTAAAGACCTTTCCAATTTTTCAGTTCTATAAGAATGTTCCATCTAGGGGGCATTTTATTTTATTAGAGCAGCAATTAACTGAATGGCACAGAACATACATAGAGTTCTATGTATAAATTTGAGGTAAAATCAACATACAAATGTTACAAAAGAGTGTGTAATTTCATTCTTAGAATAAGTAGTAGTATAGCCCCATTTGCTTTATTATTTAATTATTTTTTTAATAAAAAGATATTTGAGAACTACTTTGTTCTTTTAACTGCCCGTAATTCTTCAACCAAATATATTTCCTGCTTTTATTATTTTATGTTTCCCTGTATCTATAACTCCACATAACTATTATTTGACTAAAATCCCAATATAGATGTGATTTTTAATCTCCTGTTTTACTTAACATACCAGCATGTATTTATACCATAATATATTTATGGTGGAGCTCTGGTAGCACAGTGCCTAAGGCATCTGACTACTACCCAGAAGGTTGGTGGTTCAAACCCACCAGCCACTCCATAGAAGCAAGACTGGGCAATCTACTTCCCATATTTCTTTTGCTATATATAATCTCTATGTTTTTAATGTTTAAATTCCATAATATTCTAGAGTTGCTATGAAAATGTACTTAATTTTCATTTCCCTCATTGTGGGAGCCTTTTTTTTTTTTTTTTTAATTAAGACTTGTCTCTTGGTAGATCCAAGATAATATAACTAGCTACCCCTTTTACTTCAAAGTTTATACATTCTTTACATGAAAGAGGATGCTACTCAACCTGTACCTGTCTGATGTTGTTGTTATGTGCCATTGAGTCAGACCCGAATCATAGCGACCCCTCCTTGAGTTTCCGAGGCAGTATCACTACGGAAGTAGATTGCCCAATCTTCCTTCCGAGGAGTACCTGTCTGATACAGCTAGTTAAAAAGTGAAACATCTCTATCAGGTGGTTCTTTCCTCTGTAAGACACTTAGTGTGACCAGTTCCTTGTTTTTATTCTTCATTGATCACCTCTCTACCTTACACAAACCAATTACATGAGTAAGGTACATGATATATAAATTCTATCTCACTAAAGCTGTTATCCTCAGCATAATTTTACTTACAGATGATACTAATGATATTGATTGATAATTCTGCATTCTGTTGGACCACTTTCTTTGGAATGAGCATGAATGTGGATATCTTCCTAGGTGGTTGGTTGTTGTTGTTGTTGTTATGTGCCGTCGAGTCGGCCCCGACTCATAGCGACCCCTCCTTGGGTTTCCGAGGCAGTATCACTACGGAAGTAGGATTGCCTAACCTTCCTTCCGTGGAGTGGCTGGTGGGTTTGAACCGCCAGCCGTCTGGTTAGCAGGCAAGTGTCTTAGCCACTATGCTACCAGAGCTCAGGTGGTTGGTTAGGTAGCTGTTTTCCAAATGTTTTGGCATACACGAGTGAGTGCTCCCAGAGTCGCATCTATTTGTTGAAATATGTCATTAGGTATTCTGTCAATTCCTGGAGCCTTGTTTTTCAAGCCCTGTTTTTCACCAGTGTCTTCAGTACAGCTTGGAATTCTTCCTTCAGTACCATTGGTTCTTGATTATATGCTACCTCCTGAAACAGTTAAAAGGCAACCAATTCTTTTTAGTACAGTGACTTTGTGTATTCCTTCCATCTTTTTTTTCATGCTTCCTGTGTTACTCTATTTTTTTACCCATAGATTTCTTCAGTATTGTAACTTAAGGCTTCAAAATTTTCTTCAGTTCTTTCAACTTGAGAAATGCTGAACATGTTTTTTCATGTTGGTTTTCTAACTCCTGGTCCTTGCATATTTCATTATAATATTTCACATTGTCTTCTTGAACTGCCATTTGGAATCTTCTGTTCAGCTCTTTTACTTCATTATTTCTTACATTCATTTTAGCCACTCACCCTTCAAGAGCAAGTTTCAGAGTCTCTTCTGACATCTATTTTGATCTTCTCTTTCTTTCATTGGAGCTCTGGTAGCATAGTGGCTTAGGCACTTGACTGCTAACCAGAAGGCTGGCAGTTCAAACCCACCAGCCACTCCTCGGAAGGAAGATGGGGCAATCTACTTCCATAGTGATACTGCCTCGGAAGCCCAAGGAGGGGTTGCTGTGAGTCGGGTCTGACTCGATGGCACACAACAACAAAACAACAACTTTCTTTCATATCATTTTAATGACCTTTTGCTTTCTTCATATATGCTATCCTTGATGTCATCTCACAACCCATCTGGTACTTGGTCATTAGTGTTCAATTCACCAAATCTAATGTTAAGATGGTCTCTAAATTCAGGTGAGATATACTGGTTCTACTTTGGCTCTTGTGACTTTTTAAAATTTTCCTCATCTTCCCCTTGAACTTGCATATGAGCCATTGATGGTCTGTTGGGCAATCAGCCCCTGGTCTTGTTCTGACTGATGATAATGAATTTCTCCATCATCTCTTTCCATACATTTAGTCCATTTGACTCCTGTATATGTTCTATATGGTCAAGTCCACATGTATAGTCAACCATGTATGTTGTTGAAAAAAGCTGTTTTCCATGAATAAGTTGTTGGTCTTGCAAAATTATATCCTGCAGTCTCCAGTATTGTTTCTATCAACAAGGCCATATTTTCCAGCTACAGATCTTTCTTCATTTCCAACTTTGTTCTAAGCACTAGTAATTAACAGTGCATCTTCATTGCATGTTGGGTGAATTTCAGACTACAGAAGTTGGTAAAAAAAATCTTGAATTTCTTGATTTTTTGGCATTAGTGGTTAGTGCATAAATTTAAATAATAGTATTTCTTTTAGGCATATGGGGAGCTCTAGTGTCATAGTGCCTAAGGCATTTGACTGCTAACCGGAAGGCTGGTGGTTCAAACTCATCAACCACTCCTCAGAAGGAAGGTTGGGCAATCTACTTCCATAGTGATGCCACCTCAGAAACCCAAGGAAGGGTCTCTGTGAGTCAGATCTGACTCGAGGGCAGTGAGTTTGGTTGTTTTTTTGGTATAGGCATATGGATAATATCATATTACTGGCAGCATTGCACTTCAGGGTAGCTATATATATATATATTTTAATGCATTTTATCGAAATATAATTTATGTAC